ATTGGGTCCAGAATATTTCTAGTAACAGTCAGCAGATTCCTTCATGCTTGCCTTGTACCAAGGTACCCTGCTCCTCTCAGTCAGTGCTACTCTTCTTGTTAAAAGATTTATATTTTATGTCTGTGAGGTCCAGTTGTGAGCTGTTGTGCTGGGATCCAAACTTGGGTCCTCTGCAAGAGCAGCCAGTGCTCTTGACCACTAGACCATCTCTCCAGTCCCTCGTCAGTGCTACTCTTGACTTAGAGTCTTTGCTGGTTTTGCCTGTTACTGAGCGATATATAAATGGAAACTTAGAATGTGTGAAGTTATTATTTTTCTTTGAAATACTAGTATAACGTGTTTTATGAACGTGATGGAAAGCAATTCAAGAGGCTGTTTGCTGAAACATGATTTCATCTTCTGGCTTTTGTGCAAACCTCTGTAGACTTCAACTGTGGAAGTTGTTTGAAATGTTCAGTTCTTCACAAGATTAAATACACCATTGGGAGTTTTCTCACCAGGCAGATCAAACAAAAGCTGGATAGCTTATTAGCTCACCTAAGTCTACTTGTTAGGTTTAAATTGCTGGTAGTAACTTTAAGGATGGCTCATTCTGCCAAATACAGAGGAAACCTTTGGCTCAGATGTTGGGAAAGCTGCTTTTACACAAATTATAGAAATTTGATTATTTAGAGACTATAATTTGGTCATTTCTAGAGACCTTCTGGACAGTATTGTCTGAAAAGATGACAGCCGGAAGGAGACAGAGAAGGGAAGTGACAGCACGGGTCCCCCTCTGCCCGCACTCCTCCCCAGATGGCCTCCTCCCCAGACGGCCTCCTCCCCAGACGGCCTCCTCCCCAGAGTTCTTTGAGCATTGGCTGCCTCCTCTCCCTGTGGCGTCTCATGGGGCAGGAATGAAGGAATTGGAAGGTTGTTTTGTAGTGGGGCAAGTTTCAGGTGTTTATTTTCCTGCTGCGTACCCCTCTGCCTCAGGCCATTACTCCCCCCAAGTGGCTGTCTCTAAACACTTGCGCTCTCTGTCTCAGTAATTCTTGTCTCATACCCTTTTAGAGCGTGGCCTGGCCACAGTCTCAAGATGGCCAACTCTAGGCTCTTGTACTATATCCCCTTGTTGGCCCTAAGCTTTGCCAGCCCTTTGTGAAGTCCTTGGACCAGCCCATCAGATTATGTTTGAGTTTTTGCTTTGCTTCCTCCTGGTATCCTTTCTGCTGTATATGGAAAAACAATATGTGCACTCATCACACAGATGGTCATCCTAAAAAAGTTTTTCTTAAGCTTTTGCCATCACACAAGGACAGATGTCCTCAAGACCCTCTGGCAAGTTTTCAGTAATCTTAAATTCATGAATTTCCTGGTATCCTAAAATTTTATCTCAGGCTTAGGCTATTTTATCTATAATAGCATTGGCCAGCCTTATGGAACATTTTTATATATTTCCAATATACTCATGTATTGCCAAAATTAGTATAACATCAACTTTCATTCCTCCAGTAAGTGATCACAGCTTGACTCATACATTGTACACACAACAGTATAGTTATTGGTGAGTATTCTTCATATGTTATTACTCAAATTATACATGACACATTTGCAGGTCAGGTGGCTTCATGCTGTAGCCTCCAAGTCTTGGCTGAGATAAATAATTTTCAAGTGGCAAGTTATTGCATGGTAAGAAGCACCTACTCATGCCGTACTTTCTGGTATATTTAACACTGCATTTTCAGAAGAAAACACACGTTAGCATTTTACACAGTGTTGCCCTTTAATACCACGGGATACTAGCATGCTGATCTAAACTGTAATGTTGCTTTCAGCAGGTCAGATGATAGGAAACAGTAGATGTTTTACCCCATCAAATCTCAGGTTCAACCACATGCCTGAGAGGAAAAAGGCTAGATCAACCTCCACTGTAAAAACCAGATGACTGTATACATGAAATCCTCCCCTAAATTAGAGAAGGGCAGATCACTTACAGCAGCTCAGGATTAGTCTGAGCACGCCACTTTTCATTAGGAGTGCCACACTAGGGTGGGGTGAAGTCCCTACAATTACAAAGGAAGCCATTCCCAGCTCAGTTTCCTGAATTCTCAGTCAAAGGTGGAGTTTTAGGTAATGATATTTCTGACAGGCAGGACTTCGCCAATGTGACCTTTGATACACAGCCCTGGAATCCTCATCACAGCTTTCACAGTGCTTACAGAAGGCAGCAGCATGGGAGGATACTACCATTTCTCTTGGACACATGGGCACTGAGACGGGCATGTTCTCAGTCACATGCTGCTAAGAAGTGGGACTGGGTTGAGCCTGGACTGTCTTCCCTATGTTGCTAGTGTACTGCTTCTGTCTGAGGACAGCCGGCGCTAACGGGGGACGCGAACCCCACAGTCCAGGAATGGAAATGAAGCCTAGGGTGAGAGGGATTCCAAGGCTGGAGTGAGGGCATGTTCTGGTGGGAGCAATGCATGAAGAGGTCAGCATGGTCTGGAGGGACTGGACTACCCAGGAAAAAGGGGAAGAGATGATTTTTAAAGGGGAGCAGACCTACACAAGGCGTGGTTATCATAATACAGCGTCGCTTGCATAAAGGACTTGTGTGTAACCTTTATGAGACTCACGAAATGTAGTTTTCTCTTAGAACTGTGATTTGAGGGGTGAGGAAGAAAACATGTAGTGTATAATATACATGCGTGGGGCCAGTGGACATGACAGAAGCCCATTAAATCCTCCTAATTTCATAGTCAGAAGTCAGTAGATGATCTTTAAGGAGAAGAGCCAAGGGCTGCAGCTGGACATTTCCAAGTGTGGCCAGAAACAGCAGGACAGTCTCTTGAGTGGTGTGGCAGTGGTTGCCTCTGTGGAGTGGAGTTGGGGACAGGAAGGAATGAGGCGGACGAACACTGTCACTTTAGGTCCCATCCATGTCATCTTACACAACATGACCCCAAACCCAGGATTGTCCTTTTCTCTTTCTGCCACAATTCGTAAACTTCTGCTTTCCAGTCTCATGACTCTGTGTTGAAAGATCTGGGGCCTGTCCTCTTCCAGCTGCCATTTGGGACAGCCACCAGCCTCTGTGTGGATTCTTGCTGCGTCTCCTCTGAGTTTGTCCAGCTGCCTTGGATTCTCTTCTGCACCTTCACTGTGGCAGTTAAAATACAGTGTATATTGCTCGGCATGATGCTAGCTCCCTTAATTCAGTGTCAAAAGTCTTTGCAGCCACACACATCCCTCCCCTGCTCACTGTTTCCACAGCATCTATCACCAGTGGATGGATGTATCTTGTCTGTCTTGCCTTATTACTCAGGATAGGTTTTTCTCGTTGTTTTCCCTCTGGCTTTGTTTTTTTTCTTGTATCTCCAGAGTTTAGCACAGTGCTTGGTATACAGTAGGCACTACTTAAACAGTTGTTCAGATAAGTATGTTTTTCTAAAAGTATAAAGTCAGTTAGGTGGTACATATGACTGTAGAGTTATTACGGAGGAGGCTGAGGCAGGAGGATTCCAAGTCTGAGCCCAGGGCTGTCAAATAGGACCCTATGTTTTAAAAAGTCAGTTAAACTATCACTAGCTCTCAGCTGTTTGCTGTGTTATGATGAGTTACACTTATTATGTAACTTGTCTTGCTTACCCACCCCCAGCAATGTGAACTGGAAAGCTAAAAGGTTCTAGTTGAAAAGACTTGTTTCCGGGGCTAGAGAGATGGCTCAGTGGTTAAGAGCACTAGCTGCTCTTCCAATGGTCCCGAGTTCAGTTCCCAGAACCCACATTGGCAGCTCACAACTGTCTGATGCCCTCTTCTGGTGTGCATGCAGACCAAGTAACCATATACATAAAATATAGACCTAAAAATTAAAAAAAAACCAAAAAACAAAAAAAAGGAAAAATACCAGGCAATATGCTACATGTTCTTTTATAGCCAATGTTATTATTCTAGGCCTAAGTTACATTATTTTTCTTACTGTGATAGGAACTGGGTGGTTTTAATTTTTGTGAACTTAAAATGAAGAACCTTAAAACAATTTGTGCTAAAAATTGGTATGGGTTAGGATCATTGAAATTAAGCACTGCTGTATTATAACTAGTCAATAATGTTATAAAGATTTCAATAAGGCTTGTAACAAACATTCCTTGTAAACAGGGGAATTTGGAAATTGATTAAACAATTAATGGGATTCTTTTCTGATTGTAAATTCCTCTCTAGTTTATTCTCAAGAAAAATCTATGGGGCTTGCAGCAAGCCTCTGCCATTGTCCTTGACCTGTTTTTAAGGGATACAGAGAATTTGTATATGGGCTTGGAAGGAATTTTTTCACCTAGTGATTGTTGAGAAAGCTAAGAAAAAGAACTACAGTCTAATGGCCAGCTAAGCACTTGGAAAGGTCAGACCAAAGGAGAAGTCGAAAGAGAGATGCTACCACCTTCAGTGGTTGTCCTTAATTCTTTCTTGGGACCTGTTTGAGGAGGGCTGAATTACTAGGGGCTAGAGTTAGTGCGTTTTTCTGCTCTAAGGACTCCATTGGTGAGAGCGTTCATTTATTCAATACAGATGGAAAACTATATTATTTCTAGGTTACTTTAATCCTTCTAGTTTGTTTTTTGTTTTGTTTTTGTTTTTTAAGTTTCAAACCAAAAATTGTAGTATATACAGAGGTAACCTTTCCATGACTTGAGTGGACGAGGTCATTTTTCATTTTTCTCGAGAGTTTTTATATCACTTCTTTAACTTTGAAGATATGGAAGACTTTTCTGGGAGAGCCACATCTTTGAATATGCTTCTCTCCACCAAACTCGGAAGGGCTAACATCACAGCCCTTAGAATATGTATTTTCCACTAATGATGTTGTGATAAGCAGTGCTCATGGATAAGCATTTATCCTTTTGAAGGGAATTGTGGCGATACTTTACTTTATAGGGACATTGACAAACTAAGTACTACAGAGAAAAGCTTCTAGAAATAGTTCGGTTGTGTCATAACAAACCTTCATTTTATGTTCTTAGGGACTGAAGAGGTTAATGACAATTTGCCAAAAGCACTTTCCTACGGATCCATCAAAATGTGTGGAGTACAATGCACTGTGAGATCTGTGTACGGTGTGGACATAACAAGAAGCCTCAGCAAGCAGCATGTGGACTTCTGGCCTTAGCACAGCAGCGAAGGAAGAGTTCCATCACAGAGTTCCATCGGATGTACTTCTTTTTGGGTTTAAGAACTGTTGACTTTCATATGGTATTGGATTGCCAACAAGTTTTTGTGTGTTGTTCTCATTTTAATCAGTTGAAAAATTAAGTCCTAAAGCTGTTATCCATAGTGTAGACAGATGTGTAGACAACAGCAGGAAGGGGGTTTGAGGTGACCTTTCTCCCCAAGACCCAAAGTGTGTCATTAGATAACTAGAAACATTTGAGGGCAGGTTTAAATTTTCTATAAATTATCATGATTTGCACATTTTTCTCTTATGTGGTATTTATAGAAAATATTTTTTGTATTTCAGCAAAAGTGTGGGACCATTAAATGTTCCTTTACAGTTCTTAAAAGTTTTTTGGAATTTTGCCATCTTGCAGTAGGATGTAAATGTTACTGTTAAGTGTTATTTTTCTTGTGTTTCAGACTTGCTTTGGTTCTAAGTGGAGTACATCTTAGTATTTGTTGTATTTCTGGACAGATAGAATTGATAGGTAGAAGGTTGGAAAGCGCAAGTTCACATTAGTGCATCCAGGTTAGGGTGAGGAAATGGGCATTGGAGCCAGTTGAGAGTGGCAGCC